TTTAAAATAGTCCTGGATGCCCATCACTGATACCAGATACCAGTTTGTGCTTGTCTCCCAGAGACCACACTGTCTCCGGTTTGATCCTTCCAATTTCCTCAACCCCAATTCCCTTCCTGTTTAAATTTACACTATCCCATTTAGAAAGTACCGTGCCCTTTGTGTGGATCTCCCTTCCATGAGTTTGCCTCCAGTGCCAAACCACAAGTAAAAAAGAGTTTCTTTTGAAGGTACTGCTCCCATGACTATCAAATCATCCCAGTATAGCAACAGCTACCTGCTCCTCCCTGTGGATAACAATGATTATGCTTTGGAGAATGCAGAAACTATATATGTATAAACATTAACTGTCTTTTTGTTATTCCATAACACTTAAATGAGGTATGTGAACAGTACCCCATCACATCTGATATCCTATAGGCATGTGAATATCTGTGTGTGTGTAATATTTTTCTTCTTTATAATACTGCTATTTAATTTAAATTAATGGAAAATACCTCACCATTTGGAAATAGCATGGTATTTTTAATACAGTATAGATTTAAAACTTAGCTTTATTATGTTGTAGCTGTGTGACATGAGATTGTCAATTTACCGCTCTCAGCTTCTCCTATGAAATAGTCATAAGAAATATCTTTAAAGGGTGACATTAAGATTGAACTGGGTAGTATATATCAAGTTATTTTCTCATGGAAGTGTCTGTAAAATGATTACCCACCTCAACACTATCATCAATATTTGATAAATTATATGCAAGATCTATTTATCACACACAAGATGATGCTTTCTGACATTAATTTTAATGCATAATGCATTCAATGTATGTCAATACATTAATGTTATATATGTGTGTACAATATATTTTGTATACATTTTTACAATATTCCTCCTAGCCACTTGAGTTAGAATCTATAATTATTTCTATTTTAAATAATTTTTTATTGCATAGGCGCAGCATTACTTTTCCAGGTTACACAGGTAAATGCTGGTGGAGAAAACGTGGAAGCTCAGATATGACTGACATCAATGCCTGTGTTAATACTGGTTAATTAATAAATGTTAAGAGATTAAAAACAAAAGATAAGAAAAAGAAAATATGAAGATTAAAAGGGTAATGGGAAAAAGTAAGGGAAGTGCTCATCTCATATTAAAAGAATTTAATCCATTAAAAAATGTTACAGGAGTAGTATTAATGTTATTATTTCATTTTATACGTGCTCAGTATGCATGGATATATGTAATTCCTGGCTCAAACTGAGTACCAAAAAAAAAAAAAAAAAAAAAACAAACCTCATTTCTAAAAGCACTTAGTAATTCATAAGTAAATTTGCTATCTTGTGATAAAACTGCATCTTAATATAAAACTTCAAAAATTAATCAGCCAGTTGAACACCTTAAGGTTTTGCAAAGGCTTTTATTGGCCCCTATATATAAGTTAGAATTTAAGTCATATAAAATGCACTGAGAGAATGTAATGAATATAATAAGGTAGCGTGTGACTTTATTTATTTAAAAGCCAATTAAAAAATTGGAAGTCTTAAAATATGGTAATACAAGTTTCATTAAAATATAAAAATATTATTTACTCATGAATAAGTAAATATGTCTTGATATAAAATAAAAATGAATTTGTTTTTCTTATATATGGTATAGTTAGGATATGTGTCCCCTCTAAATCTTACGTTGAAATGTAATCCCCAGTGCTGGAGGTCAGGTCGGGTGGGAAGTGATCGGATCATGTGGAGGATCCCTTATGTCCTGGTGCTGTCCTGAATGAGTGAGTTCTCTCAAGATCTGGTTGTTTAAAAGTGCATTGCACCTCCCCCTACTTTCCCTCTTGCTCCCAGTCTGGCCTTGTGATGTACCTGCTCCCGCTTCACCTTTAACCATGAGTAAGAGCTCCCTGAGGTCTTCCCAGAAGCCAAGCAGATGCCAGCACCATGTTTCCTGCACTGCTTGTAGAACGATGAGCCAATTCAATCTCTTTTCTTTATAAATTACTCAGTCTCAGGTATTTCTTGACAGCAATGCAAGAATTACCTAACACATGGTGCATCAGAATTTATACTACAAAACTACTTTCAAAGAAGACAAATACTTCTAAGTAATATTTACAAAGGATTATTTGGGTCATGAGTGCTATAAGTAAATATAATTCCAAATAACAAATATTAAATGATGTTTACTGAAAGTTTATTTTTACTTACTTTTTTCACTCAAAATAGGAAAGTTACTTTTAACTTAATATGAAGATTTAATCTTTGTTATGTCGTGTTAGCCATCAGATCTTTGAGTTATTCAATTACATAGAGAAAATCCTTAGTTAATAAAAGTTTAATACAATTTAAGCTTCCTAAGACTATTAAATCTCACATTTGTAATGTATCAAAAGCACATGTCACTGTTAGATATTCAAAGGTAATCTGCAGGTATTCTACAATAATGATAAATGTAAATCTCTGTAGGCATGAAAGGTAATACAAAAATCAGGTAGAACATTTTATGTCAAGATGTCCAAAATTCATCTTAATATAGCAGTTTCTGTGCAACTAATATAATATCCAAAAAAAATGAATTAAGCATCCATAACATATAGACACTTGTTTCTAATAATTGGTGGTAGAAAGCTTAGCTAGATAAAATAGAAATGTGCTAAATGCATGCACTTGGCTGATTTAAATATTTGGCATGTGTCTCTACTGTAGTTATTATGGCACATTGGAAGATGAACTTGGTTGTTTAAGTACAAATATGGGTTGGCTATGAAAAAATAGAAATTTGATAAATTATACTGAATGCTGTTAAGGGAAAATGAAGTGCAATCTACTTAAAACAGATGATGACCTTCCCACTAATTAACACTTCTTTTAAAAATGTCTACTCATTCTTCTTATAAGACATTTACTTTCTTTAAGGATAGATGGTGTTGACTAAATTGATACATTACATATTGGGCTGCTTAAAAATTAAATTTTGATTCTAGGAATGACATACAAGAATTTCAAAATATTACATATGACATACTCGAATGATGAACAAATAAGCAGTAACATTCATTCCTAATAAAAAGTTTGAGAGGATTGACAATATGTTGCTTAAATATGATTGACATAGTAGTGAACTAAATTACGCAATTTCAAGTTCTGGGCCTTTTATTATGCTGAAAGTTATTGGCCATAGCCATTTGATTAGAAAAATTAACTTGCTTTTTTACTAGATATGGAAAAATTAAAGAAGGTTTTCGTGTTATTGCAGCTTAGCAACAATGCTAAAAAGATTTTAACTCATTAATATTTGTAAGTGTAAATTCACTCTTTTTTAGTCTTATTAAAAAGAAAGCAACTGAGACAGAAGTAGAGAATGAAAAGGAAAGGGAAAGGAAGAAATAAAAGAAGAGAGGAAGGAAGGAACAAAAGGAAGAATGGGAAGGATGGAGAGGAAAGAAGAGAAAGGAAATTTTAATATTGAAAAACCATATAAACTCTAATTGGAATTTTGGATCATCATTCAACTATATGACCTAACAAAGAAGAGTACAAGCAAAAAAAAAATTTCTTTATCTGAAATAACTCATAGATGTTTGTGAAAATGTTTAAAGATTACATTAATAAAAACATGGAAGTTATGTAATGATTATAACAACAAAGTCTTTGTAACCAGGTTGTGTTTCAGCAGTAAAACCAAACAGAAAAATCCTCACCTCCAAGGAGCTTATTCATACTAATAGTTTCTTAGAACTGTTACAACAAAGTTTCAAAAATGGGATGGCTCACAAAACAGAATTTTGTTTAATTTTATACTTTTTAAAAGAGTTGTTTGTGTTATAAAGGAGAGGCTAGTCATGGATAGCTGAAGATCATCACCAAGACATGAATACCAATTTCTCAGAGACATCCTATGCCTTAAGCAGAAGGTGCATGCCTTTTATATATGTATGATATAGACATAAATGATATATTTTCTTATTACATATGCATATATATAATATAATATAATGCATATATAATGCACATAATATAATGCATATATAACAAGGAAACAATAATTATTGTGCACATATAGCAAGAAAAACCTTTTGCATTTTTAGTCTGACTTTTCTAAATTGTTTTCTGCTTATCATCAATAACATTTTTTTCCACATAATATAATTATTTGTGCCATCAAAATTGTTGGTGACGTAGCATTTCTTAAAAGATCGCTCTATTATTTCTAGAATGCTTTACTAAGACACTGACCCCTTATTCTATAAATCTGAATACTGGCACTGTCTTATTTCTCAAATCATCTTTTTATCTTTTTCTCAATAGATTCACGTATATCTCAAAGGCATGAACCTTCTCCTTCATGCACAAGAAGTCTCTGACAAATTGATATTCATGTCTTAATTATGATCTTGAGCAATATATGACTAGCTTCTCATTACTTTTAAATGTCTTTCATCTCTTCTGTGGAATTTGGCCAATTCTCTTTTCTTGAGTTTCTTTGCTCCGTGTGTAATGAGGCATATTTTGTACATATTTCAATAACAAAATATATCAAAGTTTCATCTGCTTGTGTGCCTCTTCCTTAGCTTCCATTAAGAATTTGGTTGCTTCTTAAATGGAATTATGAAATTGCAACGTTTATCCTGGCAATGATTATTTGCTTTACCAATATCAAGTTATTTCCACTGCTTTTGTAGCATCTTTCAGTATAAAATGACTTAATAATCCAATTCAATTTAGAGCATCACTGTTAAGCAGAAATATCTTATGCTGCTGTTCATGGTAAAGCATTGTGCACTGGTTACTAATCCCAGAGGAAGAATCTACATACCTCGCCGATGCTGCCAGGTTTTCTAAGTCTAGCAGGAGCCTTTGTATAAACACAGCTGCCAGAATTCTACAAGGGTTTTTGACTCTGGCAATAGCTCATTGCAGACCTAGCTGCCACTGCAGCCATACTTCTACCACTTGCTTACTTAGATTTAGTCTAGTGAGACAGAACACTTGCACAAAAAGTCAACAAAAGCAACTTTATTACTCACAGATAGGCAGCAGGGATTAACAGAAACCTGGACTCCATGGTGAGCTGATTCCCCCTGGTTCAGGAAAGTTGTGCAAAATGGATGAAGTCTATCTGCATGTGCCCCAATCTGCACCAAAGTAAAAGCCTCAAAGTCCCACCCTTCTGGGTTTTATATCCTGAGGGCAACTTGGTTTCCTGAGTTCAAGTGTTGCAGAACATCCTCTTCTTGGAGAGATGAGGAAAAATCTTAAGCTATTCTGGAGGGTTCTTCCTTATTTCAGGGAGTTACATTCTTGGTACATTCTGCTCCAAAGTTGGAAGAACTGGGTCGGACAAAGAACATTCAAGGATCTGTCTTACAGTTATCTTATAAAAGACAGTTGAAAAGCAATTAAATATAAGAAGATGCTAATATATAACAACAATGCACAGAATTCAGTTGAAACCTAGATAATATTAAAAGCTGTAACAAAGTTTATATATCACACACATGCATAGATAATTACAATTATGCTGTGACTGACATTTTGCTAATAGCAATTGTTCAATGCCATGGATTTAAGATGCATCCCACTTTCAGGGATATTAAAATGTGGAAAAAATAGACATCAGGAAAGTGAGAAGGAATTCTTCTGTTTCAAACAAAAAAAATTGCAGCAGACCATTCCTTGCAGTGAAATCAGCAGTTATTTTCCTCCTTGTAAACTTATCTGATGAGAAACTGAACAGAAAAAAAGTTTCTGGGAGACAGAGAAGTCAGAATTATTTAAACGATTCAAAGGGGATAAAGGGGAGATGAACATTGGAGTTGAGGATTGTCAAATCAACTAGGTCTAGTGCGACCAAGATATTGGAGGTAAAGGAGTGATGCGAAGTAAGCTTAACCTTCAGTTTCTGTTTTTCTCTTCAGATATTTGGCTGATTAAGTTGCAAGTGGCAAAAAGTTTTGAGTCTAGAATGGTTAGTTAATTAAGATTTTGCTACTGAAAAGGTGACATTTATAGTTTGATTTTTAAGAAATATTTGCAGATTTCTTAATTGATATATTAGTTGGTTATATACATATTCATGCAACATCCTTCTCACACATTCCTTAACATTTTCAAGTGTAACTTGCTTGACCACTCTGTTCAAGATGACAATACTCACTTTCTCTTCTTTGCTTTATTTTTTTTAACAGTAATTAGCACTATCTAATATATTATATATTTTGAATATTTTATTATTACTTTTCATTCACTACAGCATTGTGCTATGTTGCATAGTGTCCCCAAAAAGTATATGGCCTTCCTGGAACATTAGAATGTAACTTTGTTTGGGATATAACATCGTTTTAGATGTAACTACTTAAGATAAATTTATACTAGGGTAGGGTGGACGATTAATTCAACATGATTGTGACTGATATCCTTAGAAGAGAAGAAAAGACACAAAGAGAATGCCATGTGAAGACAGAGGCAGAGAATGGAACTATATTGACATAGAAAAGAAATGCTAAAAATCGCTGGCAACCAATGGAAGTTAGAAGAAAAGCATGGGACATAGTTTTCCTCTGAGACTCCAAGAAGGAATGTCCCCTGTGAATACTTTGATTTCAGTGATCTGTCCTCCAGACCTCCAGCACTGAAACAGGTGAAAAGACTCTGTTCAGGGGAGTAAAACTAGGAAAACTAGGGGAGTAAAAGCTTTTACTGACTGTGTGGCCACTTTAGAACATACTACTCACTTCCTTTCTGACCTTTTCATCACTGGGGACTTTGCTGAGTGCTCCAATGACCCTTGTGGGAAGGAGACTAAGCTGGAGAGGCAGAGTCAATTATCCAACAATTCTGTCATCAAGACATTTAAAACTGTTAGATGAAACCTGTGAATTCTGTCAAATATTCAAAGAGAAATTAACAACAATCCATTTCAAATTTTTCCAAAAATATTAGAAGTCATACTAGAAGTCAAGCATCACTCTGATACATAGAGACAATACAAGAACAGACAATTAGAGATCTTTCGCCCTTTCAGATATAGAGGAAAAAAGAATCTCAATAAAATACTAGCTAATTAAATCCCACAAGATATGAAAATGATTATACACCATGACCAAGTGGTACTTACCCCAGTAATGTAAGAGTGATTCATACCTGGGAGGCTGAGGCAGGAGAATCCTTTGAACCTGGGAGGCACAGGTTGCAGTGAGCTGAAACTGCGCCACTGCACTCCAGCCTGGGTGGCAGAGCGAGACTCCATCTCAAAAAAAGAAAAAAAAAAAAGAAGAATGATTCAAAATAAGGCAACCAATTTAATTAATTTAAAATATTACATTAATAGATAAAAGTGAATGAAATATGATCTCAATTCAGAAAATTCATTTTATAAAATCCAACATTTCATTATTTAAAAATCCCCCAAATTATAAATTTCCTCAACATGATCAATAGCATTTATAAAAATACAGAGATATTATCATACTCAATGGTGAAAAACTGAAATCTTTTCCCCTAAGACCAAGAACATGACAAAAATTTCCCCTCTCATCCCTGATATTTGACATATCAGGAGTGAAAGTTCTGGCTGGAGCAATTAGACAAGAAAAATAAAATAAAAACCGTTCAATTTTAGTGGAAGAAATTTTGAAAACTCCATTTACTGATGGAATAATCATATATACACAAAATTGAAAAGAATCTACAGGAAAACTACTAGGATTAATGAATCAATTAAGCAAAATTGCAGAATACAAGATAAATGAACAAAAATGAGTTATGTTTCTATACATCCCCAATGAACAAACTGAAAAAGAAATTAAGAAAGCAATTTCATTCACAATGGAATTAAAAAAATAAAAGAGAAATAAATTTAGCCAAGGAGATGAAAGTCATTGCACAAAAAAATGCAAAGTATTGCTGATGGAAATTAAAGACCTAAGTAAATAAGAGGACATCCCATGTTCATGGATTGTAAAACTTAATCATTTTTAGAATAGGTTTTTTAACAAATGATGCCAAAACAACTGAATTTCCACCTGCAAAACACTGGAATTTGGACCCCCTCTTACTCCATATATAAAAGTCAAACCAAACTAATGACCTAAATATAACAACCAAAACCATAAAACTCTTAGAAAAAAGCAAACATATGGGTAAGTATTTATGAATTTGGATTTTGAAATGGATCCTTAGATATGACACAAAAAGCATGAGCAACAGCAACAAAATAACAACAGAAAAATGACATCATCAAAATTAAAACTTGTACACCAAAGGACACTATTGAGAAGTGAAAAGCAACCTACAGAATGGGAGGACATATTTGAAAATCATATATCTGGTGAGAGTTTAATATCTGAACAAATTATCATATTTTCCCTGAAAACATGTTCATCTATTATATATCAGGTTTTTTTTTTTTTTTTTTTTGAGACGGAGTCTCGCTGTATCGCCCAGGCTGGAGTGCAGTGGCCGGATCTCAGCTCACTGCAAGCTCCGCCTCCCGGGTTTTTACGCCATTCTCCTGCCTCAGCCTCCCGAGTAGCCGGGACTACAGGCGCCCGCCACCTCGCCCGGCTAGTTTTTTGTATTTTTTAGTAGAGACGGGGTTTCACCGTGTTAGCCAGGATGGTCTCGAACTCCTGACCTCGTGATCCGCCCGTCTCGGCCTCCCAAAGTGCTGGGATTACAGGCTTGAGCCACCGCGCCCGGCCCAAGGTTTTTTTTTAAAAAAAAAAAACTAGAAAAAAAAATTTCCACAAGTCTTCCCCAAACCCCCAAAATACTTTTTAAAATATTTCCTTGATCACCACTAGGCTATATGATCACTATAGCTGCAATAGAAATTCACAAAATGAACGTCTTACCTTTCCACCTTCTATAAAGAGAGGAAATTTTCTCCAACAAGCAACAAGTGAGAGCAGAATAATTGCTTTGCATCTGTCTATTTAATCCAGACAGAATAAATTACATTGTGTAAATAAAATACAAGCTTACACAATACAGCCAGATTTCTCATACTAAACCCTCACAGATTACAGAAAGACCTCTGTCCTATATAGCTGTGCAATAATTAAAGTTGGCATATGCCCTGATTTCTCATAGCAATGTCTCCATGATTATTTTGAGAAAGAAAATCTGATATCTTAAGGATGCCACAAGTCTACTCTTCACTTCTTTGGCACAGGTTAATTCTTAGCATGGACCTAGATTTGTCACTGCCTGGTCTAACCACAAGGATCTCGTGAATAAGGAAAGAATGCAAGGATGCTTGGCATACAGAAATAGAATGATCAAGAGAGTCTGAACCTAAGGTCACAGTTACAGTGCCTTGGAAACATCAGAGTATTAGACAGTAACTGCCTATTGGGGTCACCGTCATGAATTGCTTTCCCACTTATGTATTCTTATTCAACTAGAATTAAATGTCTTGTGTCATCATTTTGGAATAGAAAGGAGTTTATGAAGAAATCTAAAGAGATTTAAATTAAATTTGAATTAACTGTTCAATGAGAAAAGAAAGAATAAAAAATATGACATGGTTTCCTAACAAGAGAAGCAAAGGACAAGAAGAAAATGTGGTACATATACACAATTATACACAATACAGCACTCTTCAGCCGTAAAAACAGAATGAGATCCTGTCATTTGCAACAATAGGGATGAAATTAGTTGTGGTCATTATGTTAAGTGAAATAAACCAGACACAGAAAGAAAAAATCCACATGTTCTCACTTATTTGTGGGAGCTAAAAATTAAAACAATTGAACTCATGGAGACAGAGAGTATAATACTAGTTATCAGAGTCTGTGAAGGGAAGTAGGGAATGTGTAGGGTGTGTGTGGGGGAAGTGAGGTTGCTTAATGAGTACAAAGAAAAAAAGAAAAAATGAATAATATCTATTACTTGACCAAATGCTTGAGGTGATGGACAGTCATTTACACTGATGTCTTATTACATAGTATATGTATCAAAATATCTCATGTACCCCATTATTCATATGTACATATAGCATTTATATATAATGAGTATATACAATATATAAATATATATGTACAACTACTTTCTACCCACAAAAAATAATAATTAGCAAAGAACTAATGAGGATTACAGACATGTGACTGTGTGTTCAATGAACAGAGTAAATGAAGAGACTAAATTTGTCTATCAAAATATAAAAGAAGGAAGAGTGAATCAGAATGAGGCACAAAGAGAAAATAAACATTGAAAATACTAAAAGTAAGTTAAGAAATGTAGATGATATACTAAATGAATATTCCAGAATAAGAAAATGGCTAAATTGCTGAAACAAAATTTTCAAAAAGACAATGTCCCTCTAGCTCACTATTGCAGCCTCAGTGCTCAGCACATTTATGTCATGTAGCTTAGAGCAGTAAATATTTATTTCATAATATTTCATAAATATTTAATATGTAGTATTATGGCTACATTGAATATATCACAATCATAAAAAATACTCAACAGTTACTGTTTACTCTTTTGAAAACAATGTAAGTTATCTCATGCTCACAATAATCTTACTAGATTCTATTATTGTCTCCATTTTATTCCTGAAAAAATGAGATTTAGAGAAATATAAATTGACTTTTAATTTAATTTGAATCTTTTAATGAACTTAAACATATATGTTTCTGATGTCATTTTAACTTGCTATTAAACATTATATGCACTCCAACCCTTAAACAAAAATAAGTACCCAGGGGAAAATGTTATTTGTACTTGATACATGTGCTTTTCCACTTTTGTGTCTCACACTTTATTACAGGATTCTTCAATCTAGGAAAAATTTAAAATTTTTATTTCATGATGCTTTTACAGCTAATGAATGTATTTATACAGCTAATGTCCTCAAATAAATGTCATGTCTTGAATGGTCCAAATTACATTAAAATTCCTAGTTCAAATTCACTTTGAAATAAAATAATTCATTTTAAAATCTGAATTTGTAGAAAAGAAATCAGAATAATGAGACATCTCTACAAATTTTATAAACAATAGTTTAAAGTGTTGATGATGTATAATAGGGAGAAAGACTTATGCATACAGATCCATACTATATCTTAAAATAATTAAAGTGCTCTCCAATGAAAGTGAGTTTAGATTTATTGAATAGCATTCTAAAAAGCAAAACTACCATCAGTGAAATAAGAACATCTAGTTTTGGCCGGGTGTGGTGGCTCACGCCTGTAATCCCAACACTTTGGGAGGCTGAGGCGGGCGGATCACAAGATCAGGAGATGGAGACGATCCTGGCTAACACGGTGAAACCCCGTCTCTACTGAAAATAGAAAAAATTAGCCGGGCGTGGTGGCGGGCGCCTGTAGTCCCAGCTACTCAGGAGGCTGAGGCAGGAGAATGGCTTGCACCCGGGAGGCGGAGCTTGAAGTGATTCGAGATCGCGCCAGGGCACTCCAGCCTGGCCTACAAGAGCGAGACTCCGTTTCAAAAAAAAAGAAAAAAAAGAACATCTAATTTTAATTAAACAAATAAACAGATATTTCTCTATCTCTCAGGATGCTTATGTAAGGCTCGAATGATTACTTTCTAGTGGGGTAAATGGGTATTGGAAATTATTATACAAGATAATTTTTAAGAGCCTCCCAACTTGAGATTTAGATTTATTATAATGTATGCTTCAGAGTACACAAGAGTAGGAGAAGAATGATAATAAAAGTAATTAATTGAAAAAGAAATAGAAATAATAATTAGTCATAGAAAAATGTTCAGATGTACAGTTAGTTCCAAATGCAAAGTTAACAATGGGTAAAAATTACATTGCAAATTTATTTAAATTGGGCAAAATATAAGCAATAATTTTAATTATATTAGGCATTAATATTTATTGATAGTGAGGATTTGGAAAATGGCAACTTTCAAAAATAGCTCATACTAGGAACTGCAACGACCATTCTTAAAGGAAATTGAAAAATGCGAACAAAGATTTGAAGGATTTAAGGATATGCCTCCCCCAAATGTGCTACTCTTGCATAGAGACTATTTGATTTAAAGGCATCTAAAAAACAGCAAGTGCAATAGCAGTCTGACCTTTCTTCTCTGTTTCTTAAAAGCATGAGAGATAAAATTCCCACATAAAAGATGGCTCCTTAAACTAGAAGAAAAGTATCATTTTCATCATTAAGGACTGAAAGTTGAGGCTGAAGGCAATCTGTACA